CTAGATCCACCACCCAGATCCACCGCCCTAATTCGAGGGAAAAATAAAGAAATCGGGAGAAATTAGACCATAGAATTGGTCAAGAACACAGATCTAACCTGCCCCGGCTGTGGCTTGCTCAAACATTTCACAAACTCGCGCCCACGGTTGCCATTTTCTTCCCTCACACAAGTCAAACGCTTGAGAGGCTCCATGCGTGGGCAATCGGGGCATCTTGTCAACGGCAGTGGACCATACTGCATCCATGGTTGGCAGGTGGCTGAAGTCGAGCTAGACATCACTCGCCGGCGGCGCGCTTCGTTGCCGGAGTAGAGGAAGAAGAAGGTGGGAAAGGAAAGGGGCAGGGTAAGCAATGGAGGGGGGCGGGCTGGCTCGGGTCGGGGCACGCTGATGAGGACGGGCATGCTTGTGTGGATAAGTTGTGGGTCCCACCCGCATGCGAGTAACTGGTGGGTCCCGCGTGTCATAACTCAAATCGCTAACCCTCGTGTTTTTCATTTCACGGTTAAACAGAGCCATGTCGCATTGGAGCTATTTACACGCTCAAGTGTGTCGCATCACAGCCATTCACTCGAACAACGTCGCACTCAGGCAAATTCACATCAAAAACGTCGCACAGGAGCTATTGGCCCGACCTTCAGGCAACCCGGACATCTTCAGCTGCTATAAGAACCGGCGGATTGGGATGGATGGGGCCGCCTTCACCGAGTTCGCGGCCAAAGTCTTCACCGCTAACAAGGAGTGCAAGTCGGCAAAGGCGCGGCGAGGGCAAGAAGCGGGAACCAATTGCAAATGCAGCTAACCAGACCTCCCTCTATTTTTGTGGTAATTAAGAAAAGGCAGAGTGGAAATAACTAAATGTGCTTAGCTAGCCAGCCACAAATTAACATCAGTGGCGTCAAAACCGATGATGAATTTGTTAGTAAGAGATCAAGTATGGTTAATTAAAGGGGTTAACTAACCAGGCACATGCATGATACTCCAAATACATAAAAAGCTCAAGCAATTGCGACGATCTTCATTCTGTAAATTTCTTCTGATGTTTAGTTCTGGCATATTTTTATATGTATGCACGTTTGTATGTTATCATGTTATATGGCATATATTCATCCATCCATGCTCCACATCTGGGCTGAAGCACTGAACCTGCATGCCTAAAATGATCTATCAAGAATTTCATCCATCCACCAATGAGAATAACATACAAACGGTGTCTGCAGTTGTAACTTTTAGATGGTTTATTAGATCGTAATTAGGATGCAACTACGTTAATCCTTAAGTAAGAGCTAACATTAGTGTCAGAACAAATTAACCTAGCCTCGGACAGATCGAACCCTATTATTTTTGCCTAATGTATGTTATCTAACTAATCGATAGGCCTGATTGCTACTGGTTGGTTGATTTAGTAATAAGATAAGATGCCGATCACCATAAATACTTGGTATTCACCTTCCGCTTTGTGCGAATCACCTTGTTTATCCCTAAATTATGTTTCGTTGACGATCAATGTAAAGTCCTAATCAAGTTTCCATGGCTCGGTTCATGAATCATGACAGAATGCAGGTAATTTCTTTCAAATGAGGCTCGCACTGAATACAAAATTTGGCCCCATTTTACGAATCCCCATTCCCCAATCTCTAAAACCCTACACCATTTCCCAAACTGAAAATTCAGAGGAAGAGGGCTGGGGTAACTTACCTGAAGGCGTCGTGTGGCCTCCTTGTCGTGCGCGCCACCTCTCCCTCGTCCGTGGCCTCTGGCTCGCCGGGCACGGCGCCGTCGATCCTCTCTACGAAGCGGCACCAGCGCATCCTCCCCGCCAGCCTCGTGACCATGTCGCGACACGGTCAGCCAAGTTCGACGAGGCCGCGCACATTGAGCCATCAGGCACGCGTGCACCGGCGAACAGGCCGGCCGTGCCGCCATGGTTGCCGGCTAGCCACAGTCGCCTCGCGCGCCACGGGTGCCGGGAGAATCGGGGTACAGAGGAAAGAATGGGCTAGTCTTTGCCCCGCTCGCCGGCTGAGCCCAGGTTGCCTCGTTGGCCAAGGTCTGCTTTTAGCGCAGAATGTTATTTTGGTTGTTTGTTCGACTCTCAGCGCATTTTCTCTATTTTATATAGATTGATTGTTCTACATTAAGTAAAACAATATTCGATGTAAAAAATAATCATATAATTATATGAACGTTCTAATGGGCTTTGAGCCAACATGCGTCTTTTGGGGCTTTTCTGTATTTTAAACAGTTTTCTCCGCTCTAAAAGGTTTTTGCTATGATAATGTTTTATGCACTTTTAGCCAGAAAATGCCCAAAAATATACGACTAACAATGTTTAAGTTTCTGGATAAAATGAACATTTTATTTATTGAGTTTTAGTGTGGTCTCAAGATTTGTGTTGTCTGTTAACAATTATCTCGATCAATTTCAGTATTATATTAGTGTTGTGAAATGATCCTTGAATTTTAAGAGCATTCTGTTTGAAATATTTTCCTCATGGGTCGAGGTCATTTTGTGAGTTTTTGTGGTCAAACATTTTGATTTTCTCCCCTGCTCTGCACGGCCGATAATATTGGGCCGTTGTGAAACAGAACAAATTGGCAGTGCATTTGGCTGCTATATTGAAGTTTTTATAAAGTAAGTGCACTGCTTATATAGGAATTATGAATTGTGTAAGTTTTCTGAATAAAATATACATTTCATTTAGGGATTTAAAGTGTGTTGTCAACATTGGTGTCTTCTGTTAACAATTGTCTCGATCTATTTAGATTTAGTATCAAATTAATGTTATAAAATGATGTTAATCTTGAGAATAATTTTGGAAATGATGATCCCTGACTTTTCATAGCATTTTGTTTGAAATATTTTCATCGTGGGTACAATACAATCATACATGATACAAGGACCATGGCAGTAGGGTCTTTTTTCGCACCGAACGGGAATGACAGCTCAGCTAAGTCCTACCGCCAAAGACAATGGCGGTTGAAAAAGGGTCAGATCATGAAATTTTTACAAAGTGGGGTTAGATCGTGCTTAAGTTAGTTATCAAAAAGGGTCAGAATAGTGATTTTTGCCACCTGAATGGAGTTTTGGTGGTGTCGCAATTTTATTTTCGTACCCCTCTGCATGGCCGATAATATTGGAACCGGTGACACATTTTCATTACCGTGACGCTCTGCATGGCCGATAATGTTGAGCCGCTGTGAAACAATATTGTTTTTGGCAATACACCTATGTAGATGTTTCATAAAGTAGTGCACTGCTTATATAGGAGTTATTGCCCAAAATATTTTTTATAAAGTCATGACCAATGTTCAGAAAAAAATTAATCATTTTGACCTGCAAAATAATTTTGTAATATTAAAATATACCAATGTGGCAGATGTCATGTTCCAAAGATTATTTTGGATCAGCTTGATGCCAAAACGGAGGCACACCATGCATATAGCTGTTCTAAGTCTAGCTAGCCTCGAGTCAAGTCCAACCATATATATCACTCACTAGTTCGGCACGGCAGTGTATTTTTCAGTAGAAAATCAAACAAAGACAGTGTATTCTTCAGTAGAAAATCAACCAGATGACTTTTCATCAGACCTCGGCGCACGGCCCCTCTCTCTCGCGCGGTTTACCAGTCGGAAATATGCATGGACGGTACGAAGATTTTTACGTGGACACAGTTAGTTCTTGAAAAATCAGCCGTCCAGAAGCAATAGAATTTCCACGTACATATGCATGGACGGCACGAGAGCCCAGCCCTTCACGACGGCATACACCTGTCTGAGTATACCATTCTACACAGCATACGACGATCGACGCAGCGTGCACGGATGGGAATCTTGTCGTCTTCTTCCTCCGGCGACTCAATCGAAGCGCTACTCTCCAGTCGTACGTGGAGCTGTCAGCTGTCTCTCCTCTCTCGCCTCCGGCTCCATGGTGAGGGCTACACCTGTGCAGGTGCACCCCTATAAGAAGAGACCCTCCATGCAGTTCCACCGGCACAAACCCGATAATAACCTACTCCATCTGCAATGCGACTAGCCATGGCGACCCCCGCTCACCTAAAACTCGTCTCGCTCGCTCTCCTGTTAGCCTCGTTTTCCTGGTCCATGGCGGCGCCACCACCATCCGTCCTGGAAGAACAGGCGGGAGCCCTCCTCGCCTGGAAAGCCACCATACAAAACCCCCCAGCCCAGCTCCAGTCCTGGGGAAACACCACAACTCGGCCATGCGGCTGGTACGGCATCAAGTGCGGCAATCATCCAGCTGCGAGGCACCAGGAGGTGGTGATCACCGAGATCTCTCTCCGGGGGTTGCGGCTGAGAGCGAGGCTGGACATCCTCAACTTCACGGTGTTGCATACTCTCACGAGTATCCGACTACCCTACAATCAGATAAGCGGCTCCTTTCCACCCGCTTTAGCATCATCCTTGCCAAACCTGCGGCATCTAATGCTCCAGGGGAATGAACTCTACGGGCAAATACCAAACCAAATAGAGCACCTAGAGAGTCTCGTGGGGCTGAACTTGTCATACAACCACTTGTGTGGCCTCATCCCCACAGAAGTAGGCTACCTAAGGAAGTTGCTTAGGTTAGATTTTTCCTACAACAACCTCATAGGCCTCGTTCCGAAAAGTCTAGGGAATTGTACTAAACTCACTATCTTGCACCTTGGTGCAAATCAGTTATCCGGAAATCTTCCTCGAGAATTAGGTCACCTGGTGAAATTAAAAAGATTAGCTCTTGGCAAAAACCAACTCATAGGTTCAATCCCCGATACCTTTGGGAGTTTGATTAACCTCACCGAATTGTACTTGTGGGGTAATCGACTCTCTGGCCGTGTTCCCCGAGAACTAGGTTCCCTTGTATACCTAGAACGGTTGTCGCTTCAAGACAACCAACTCACGGGGCGTATTCCTCGAGAAATTGGTTGCCTAGTGAACTTGGAATTCTTGGACCTTAGCAAAAACAAACTCACGGGTTCGATCCCCAATGCCTTTGGAAATATGACCAAGCTCATTACCTTGGACCTTTATGATAATCAATTCTCCGGGCATGTTCCTCGAGGGCTAGGTTCCCTGGTGAATCTAGAAAAGTTATATCTTAGCGCAAACATACTCATGGGTAACATCCCCAACACCTTTGGAAATTTGACCAAGCTCACTACCTTGTACCTTTATGGTAATAACTTCTCCGGACATGTTCCTTGGGAACTAGGTTCCCTAGTGAATCTGGAAAGCTTGGATCTTAGCGAAAACAAACTCACGGGTTCCATCCCCAATACCTTTGGTAGTTTGAC